AAAAAAAAAAAAAAGCAGGGGCTTAGAAAGTTTGGGGCTGGTAAATATCTGCAGCTTCTGGGAGAGTGGTGTGCCCAGAAAGGAGAGGGAAGGTCTAGGCTCCCTCCTGCATACCTTGCTCTATGCCCCTCTTCCATCTGGCTGATCAGTTGTGTCCTTTAATACCCTTTAATAAACCAGTAGGCACCCACATTTTTCCAGAGTTCTATGAGCCACCCTAGCAAATAAGCTGAACCCAAGGAGGGGACCATGGAAACCAGTTACTCACAAGCTGTTGAATAGCCTGGACTTGTGATTGGCATGCATGGGGTGATGTACTGTAGAACTGAACACTTAACAAGTGGAATCTGATGCTATCACCAGATAGATAAGGTCAGGACTGAATTAAATTGGACACATAGTCAGTGGTGCAAAGAATTGCTTGGGGGTGAGGGAAAGAATCTCTATAAATGTGGTGACCAGGTCTATCAGAAGTGAGGTGCTCAGTGTAACTATTAAGAGGACACACAATGGAGAGAGAAACCCAGAAGGGAAGAATAACAGGTTACTCCTGAGTTTTCTCTTTCTATCCTACAAAATCTTGGTAGGTTTTTAGTTGTTTCTATGTCACAAAATTTGGAGTTATAACATAGCTGTGTAACAAGAAAACTATCAGAGAACTATTTCAATGGCAAGGTACATCTAGCCTTGTGTTCTGGAGCCCATTCTCAGAAGTTAGAATAATTCCATATATCCTTGTACCCTTTCAAAAATTTGTAAGGACATCTAATTTGTTATCCATGGCACCATTTTTTTTCTTTTTCTTTTTTTTTTCATGGAACCATTTCTTAAAATCCTTTTCCCTCACATAGCACTGTGTTTTAAATTTTCCCCCATTCCTTGCCTTCTATGTCAATATTCTAATATAATAAGGCCTAGCTATGTGGCCGCAGGAATATGAAGCAGGTTACATGAAAGTTATAAGAAAGGAAAACAGGTGAATAATACTCTTGCAGGAATAATTTTTATCCTTATTACACTTTATGTTTCTTATCTCTTTCTTCACTGTCTCTTTTCCCTGAAGAAACATATTCAGATTTACTCAGTATAACATTCCAGTTACCGCTCCATCATTCTTTCTTTTACTATCATCTTCTTGAAAGGAATGTGTACACTAATTTTTCACATTCCATTTACTTCTCAGCCCATTGCAAAATGGCTTCTTCCCTCACATATGTATCAAATTCCTCTAAGATCAGCAAATGATCAGCAAATCACTACATTCAGTGAACTCTCTTAATATTGCCTCTTGGAAACTTTTCCTATACCTAGTTAAAGAATCAAAATAGCCAACAACTGCAAGGAAGCATCCTATTGCCACTAGCATTTTATTAGAAAATCAGCTACTGGCTTGAAAAATGGTAGATTCATTCTTTATAATTTACATGTTGTGGGATTTAGATTTAAAATTCTAAATATATTGGCAATATATTATATATCACTGTTACAATAAATGCCATTCCACAAACATCTTTTTCAAATATAATGATTTTTCTATTATATATTTTTTTATATTCATATTATCATGAAAAATTATACAAAGATCAGTGCCCTCCCTGGTGGCACAACAGGTTAAAGCACAGCACTATGAAGCTATCATAGCCATTGCAGCATGAGTTCAATCCTTAGCCTGGGAGGTGACCCACACAGTGTGGCAGACACCCTGTGACCCCTTAGCAAAGTATTTCACACTTGATCTGCCTGCTCTGCTCCCCACTCTGTTTCTGGTGAATTCTCTTAAACCCTGTGCCTTTGCCCTGTACCCCAGTTCTTGTGTAAATAAGTAAATCTTTTAAAAAATTATACAAAGATCATATCTTTTAAAATTAGAAAGGAAACAGATCTATCAATTCCTGTCTCAACTTGCAATTTGACACATAAAGAAAATACAGAATTGAAGATAAAAATCTAATGGAATCTGAGAGTTAGGTTGCAGGGGACAATGTCTGCTATTATTGGGATTTATTACAATCTATACAATCTATGGTTTCAGAGTAGTTGGGACAGTTGAGAAGAAAGAGCCTCTTGGATGAGTTTTCAGGGATACCTTCTGAAATTGCTTGATAGCATTAGGCAACCTAGGAGCTGCTGCATCTTCTGTATTCAGAAATCACGAGATCCATAACAACACTGCCACTGCCACAATCAAGATTCTAAAATCATGAGGCTGCCACACCATGACCACACACACACAAATGGAAAGGATGCCACAATGCCACTTCCCAAACCCCTCAAAGTTCTTGAGTGGATACTCGGCTCCTATCCTTCCAAACTGTGATCACCACCAGCAGCAGCAGAAAGGTAGCTACATCCCTCATTGCCAATTCTCAAGTCCTGTGTGAATGTTTCTATCTGCTCTGCACCTGAGGTAGGTAGACATTTCTTTAAAATTTAGGTAACACTGTTTTACAACACTGTACATGACTCAGAGGTACAGGATCACACTTCTTCAGATGTATCAACACAGCCACCCCAGAGGCACCTGCAGTCCTACACCCTGATCCCCAAACTCCCTTCACTCCCTCCTATGGTACCCTGACTCCCGCAGTCAGAGTTCTAAGGTTTGTTATTGGTTTGGTTTCATTAGAAACATTTGATTTGTCTATAATCAAATGTAAGTAAAAATATCTGATATTTGTCTTTTTCCTTGTGACTTATTTTGATTAGCATAGTCCCCGCCCCGCCCCAGTTCCATCCATATTATAACAAATGGCAAATGTTTATTTCCTTTTTTTTTATTTTGTAGCTGAGTAGTATTCCATTGTATATATAAACCACATCTTCTTAATCCTCTCCCCTGTGCTTGGACACTTAGTTTCCATAACTTAGTAATTGTAATCAGTGCTGTGGTGAACACAGGATGCACACAACCTCTCTAGATGTGTGCTTAGCATTCTTTGTGTAGACACCTGGATGTGGAATTGCTGAATCACTTGGTAAGTCTATTTTTCATATCTGGAGAAATCTCCATACTGTTTTGTATGGTTGTTGACCAGTCTGAATTCCCACCAACAGTGTATGCGACGTCCTTTTTTTGCCACAACCTTGATAACACTTGCTGTTTCTGGTCTTAGACATGGATTATTCTCACAAGCATGAAATGGTATCTCACTGTAGTTCTGATTTGCAGTTCCCTGATCATAAGTGATGAGCATTTTCCCGTGTCTAGATATCTTCTTTAGAGAATTTCCTACTTAGCTCTCCTGTCCATTTTTGGATTGGGTTCTTTGTTTCCTTTCATTGAATTATATGGGTTGAGTTCTTGCAGCTCTTGCAGATCAGCTCTTTCTTAGATATATGGGGTGCAATTTTTTCCCCATTCAGTAAGGTGGCTTTTTGGCTTTGATTTCCCCCTTATCTTCTTAGCTACCCCAGCAGGATGAGATGGAAATGATTTCCAGAAAGTGATTGGTTGTGGTGGTACAGGGTCACAGCTCCCTTGCTGGATGCCAGCAGACTGGACAAGAGTCAGGGAGCCCCAGGCAAAGCCAACAAGTCTTTAAGAGCATCAGGAAGCAAGAAATACAGGGAGCAACAACTGTTTTAGCAGCAACAGTTGCCACAGCAGGGTCCCTGGGCGGGTCACAGCATCAGAGGCTCCAGGGTGGCCAGGTGGCCCCAGGCAGCCTCTCCATCCTCTTGGGCACCTTGGCCAGGCAGCAGCATCAAAACAGCAGTGGCAGTGCTCCCCCAGGAGCCCTATTAGATTGCATATAATTTACACAAAGCTAGCATGAGGCCAAGTATATGCCTAGAGGAAAACTATACATCTAGGTTAGGTTAGGTTAGGTTAGGTTTGTTATGCTATGTTATGTTATGCTATGTTATGTTATGTAATGTTATGGTATGTTGTGTGTTGTGGTGTGTTGTGTGTTGTGGTGTGTTGTGATGTGATGTTGTGATGTTATGTTATGTTATGTTGTTATGTTATGTTGTTATAGTATGATGCTATGCCAATGCCATGCCCATGCCATACCATGCCATGCCATGCCATGCTATGCCATGCTATGCTATGCTATGTTATTCCACACTCAGATTATATCCCAAGGTTACATGTTATCTATGGGCAGAGAAAAGGGCCCCAAGATTTTTTTTTTAATTTACCCTATGGGTGAGATGTCAAATGGGTTTGTATGTGTGTGTGTTTATATGTATGTATTGGTTAAATATCAAGTGTCAGAAGAAGCACTAATCTACACATGAACAAATTCTAGTTAAAATGCTATTTAAAAAAAATAGTAATAGAGATTCCTTTACATGGATTAATTCCTTATTATTAAGAAAGTATCAGACCCCAAGGAATGGAAGTTTCACATCAGACATTAGATTACTTACTCAGTAGAAAAACATTGTTAGAGACCAATGGAACCCTTTTTAGAGCTAGGAGAAGAAAGGCGTTGAATGTGGCACATGGCACATGGCTAACATCAAGTTCATTTTTTTCATGATGAAATTAGAGAAGGTGCATTTATAATTAAGTAAAATAAAATTCTCCCCCTCTCAATAATGAGTGAGAAATTACTGTGGAAACACTTTGGTGAATTAGGGTAATAAACACAGCTGCTTTGATGCCTTTAATGCAGGTGTGCATTTTAGCAATGCTAATGACATTCACTGAACCAGACAAGGAGAGTTCCTCTCTGAGTGGAGTGGCGTGGAAAGAAATCTATGCTCTCAAGGTTTTCTACAATAAAGGCAATTGAACATGGCATGTTTCACATCACCATTTAATGCCAAATGAACTGGAGTGAGGCCATCTATTGAGCTCCTTCTACAGTCCATGTTGAATAAGGGGCCTAGGTGGTTTTCTTCATTACATCATCACAAGAACTCTGGCCAGCTAGCATTTTTACTATTTATATCTTTCTATAAATGAAAACCCTTAGGATCATAAAGAATAATTTATCTAAGATCACAGAGACAGTAAGATAGGGAGACATTTCAAATGCAGGTATGTCTGAATCTATGGTGGAAACACGCTGGCTTTGCTTGTCCAGCATTCTCAGCTGCTGTTGTGGTTTGTCTGGGTTGACTCTGCTGCTCCCAGGGAGCATGATCGATCATGTCATTATGTTCTCCAAGGCACAGGCCAGGGGTATCATGTGACAAATTCACAGCCTATCAGAGGGAATTGCCTGTTTTTATTTTTCTAGAGAAAATGAAACAGGGACTTTTCTCTCTTCTGCTATACGAGGTTTAAGAGGTTACTAGTCGATAGTGACTAGTAACCTCTTGTCACCAAAAGGAGCCAGAGACACTGAATGAGGGCATCTCATCAGAAAGCAGAGGTGAGACAGTCTATTTAACACAGACGGCAAAGCTGTATTCTTTCCACTGAGTAACACTGTTTCAAATATAAGAGAAGAAACAACTTCCAAAAGGAAATAAAAGATTTAAAATAATTAAATACATAATTCTGTTTATTATATATTCTCTAATTTACCAGCAAAAGTAGTTATTAAAATTATTTTTAAATATCTTGATTAAGAAAGATTTGAATCATTTTGTGGTAAATTACTCGAGCATGCCAAAAGGTCTTACTGGGAAATATCTCAACCATCTATTATATGTCAATAATAGCTTACCTCTTAGCATTGTATTCTGTATACCTCCTTCATAGCTGATAATAAATGACATGAATTAAGAGGCTTTGTAACTAAGAAATAATCCATAAATATATTTCTTTAAAATTATTTCTAAGAATCAAATGGCTTGGCAATTATAATATTTCTGCACAGAATGTGGCTCAAAATCATAGATTACTAAGAATAAGCAAGAGATAGTAGCTTTTTTAGTGGAGAAGAGAGGGTCTAGGGTATTGGCTCCTTCTTACTCAATTTAATTATTATCCTAGGAAGCAGGGAGCCCTCACAAATAACTCAAATGAGAGATGATAGTGGCTTGGATCCATATGAGAACAGTGGAGGAGGTGAGGGATAGGTGGATACTGGACATATCTTGGTGGCAGTATCAAGACTGCCTATAATATGAAGATGGACAAAGAAGAGTCAAAGGTCATGCTACAGTCTGAAGGCTAGAACTCTTAATCATCTAGGCTACTTCAGAGAATGAAAGGTTTCTAATTCATGGGTAAATATGTGTTATTCCTGGAATCCACTGGCTCTGTAGAGAGTGGTAAAGAATATTCCTTCATCTCCAGTGGCTTCTAATATTCTGTGGGTAGATGAAGTTTGCTCAGGTTTTTGTACCACTGGCCCCTGTGGCTATCACCTGCAGCCTTGACTTCAGGAGGCACCTGGAAGTGTGGTTGAGGGGTATGTGTGCCTGGTGGTGGACACCTGTGGTGTGTGTGGGCATGTGTAGGTGGGCACACCTGAGTTGAGAGACTGTACATATAAGGAAAGTATCACAGAGGACTGCCAGAGAGCTGCCACAAGAGGAAGAGACCATGCACGGAAGGCCAGAAAGCCCAGAGAGTAAAGGGGGCTAGGAAGCTTCCCAGCCTGCCTCATTACAAGTGGTATAGAAAGATCTTTAAAAGTCTGAAAAATCCCCTGAGGGCTGAGGGCTCAAGGACTCTTCTTTACCAGTCACCTACATCCATAGAGAAGCTGCCCTGTGCATTACTAGCACAAAATATCCCCCCTTTTATTTTAATGTGAAGAACTAGGGTGTGCGTTAAGGTGCACGGTGGGTGAGAATATTCACCAGAGACAGAGTGGGGAGGAGGACAGGCATATTTACTGAACTATACTGTTAAAGTAGGCATTGGGTGAGGCAGGAGAGCTGTGTTGGTGGGTTAACTCCCTAAGTCATGATTAAATTCAGTCTATAGAGGTGATAATCCTGAGACTTAACCCCGAAGCCACCAGGGAGGCCTCTAAAATGCTTTGTTCCCCACCAACAGGATGCAGTCTATTTGAATTCTAGATTTCCCTGCTGACACTGGCAAGGACTTGCTCTCAGAAGTCTTCCTTGTCATTATGACTTTACTCTAGGGGGTATTTGAGTTTAGATGTTCTGCTTTTTATTTTAAAAAATGTCAGTGCATGCTGGTGGGAATGCAAACTAGTACAACCACTATGGAAAACTGTTTGAAGGTTCCTCAAACTGCTAAACATGGAGCTTCCCTACGACCCAGCAATCCCACTCCTAGGTATCTACCCAAAAGACACAAAAACACTGACTGAAAAAGATCTGTGCCCCCATGTTTATTGCTGCTTTATTTACAACTGGAAATACATGGAAGCAGCCCAAATGCCCAAAAGTAGATGACTGGATAAAAAAGATGTGGTACATATATACAATGGAATATTACTCAGCATCCAAAAAAGAGAAACACATGTCTTTCGCAGCAAATTGGATGGAGCTGGAAAAGATCATGCTTAGTGAGATAAGCCAGAAAGAGAAAGAAAAATACCGGATGGTTTCACTCATAGCAGGAGGATAATGGACCAGGCGAGAAAATTACAAAAATAATGAACAACCATATACCAGAGACATTTTGTGGGGGTGGAGTGGGGAATGGGATCAAAAACTGGGGGGTGGGGAGGGAAGTGCATGGGATTATGGTGATGGCACACGGGTGATTTGGTGATGGGAAACCTGCGGGGATTACAATTGAGATGGAAAAAAATGTACAAAATGATGCAAAAATAAACTGTTATAATAAAAAAAAATGTCAGTGCAGTCAATGAGTCTTTATGTAAAAACGTGAGCAAGAGAAAATCTTTTTTTCTTTCATCCACAATCTAAAAAGAAACTAGAAGCTTTCCTAAACTCTCATTGATAAAGCAAATGTTTAGGTTAGGTTTCTGCACTGACCTTGACCAAGGCAGAGTTCCATAATGGCAACATGGAAGTACATGGAATTAATTCTTAAAGGGAGGTTTCCTAAGGAAAGCACATGGGTCAGAGAAAAATGACATATGCCTAGCATAGAAATTATTTGACAAGTCCAGAAAATCATGAAGGGTTTGTAGAGCAGAAACAGACAAGTACTTCTGAAATCTTACAGTATACCAAAAGACCATAGGATATTTTTGAGTGATCTGAAACAAATACAAGTGTCACCAGCAATAGTTTAAAAACTCTGGTTTTTAAACATCTATCTTTTTGGAAGCACAACTTTTTTTTCATCTTGAGAGGTACCTTCTTATGTAGAACCCTAATATATAAAACAGAGCAGTAGAAC